ACGGTCTCGCCGCGAGATTCTGATCCATCCTCGTAACTCCCTCCATGGATGACTCCCACGAAGGCACACTTCACGACCGGTTTAACCCGGGCGGACCGCGCACGCTGAGCCGTTTCGACGAGGTCGGTGCAGATGTCCGGCTCAGGGCCCGGTTCACCAATCTTGCCGATGAAAACGTGTATGCCACCAAAGGGGACCCGGTACCCGTACTCAACTGAGCCGGCCTCGGGGCCCCAGCCTGCATCATCGATGTAGAGCTTGCCGCGACGACTCTTAGTCATCCGGCCCACAACGTAGCCCCCGAGTCCTTCAAGGCGGCCCTCCAAGAACTTGAAACCATCGTGCGATAGCCCCACGGTGGGCGCCAACTGTCGTGGTTTTGTCACGGCAGATGTCCTAGAGAAAGGACTTAGTCGTGGAGCCATCGCGACGGGTTAGCTTGAAGGGGTTAAAGCGGACACAGGGACGCAAGAGAGTTTATACTAGTTCGGCCCCTTCGATGAAGGTAAAAGCCTACGTCTAGTTGTGATGGAATTGATGGGGTCTCGATGACTAGGGAGCAATAAGCTTCACCTAAGTCTCGAGTTGTTGTCTGTTGTCCTTGAACCGCCGCCAGGTCGTCCCCTTATATACACGGGTGACGCCCATCGGTTCACAGAGTCCCAATACCGGCTCATAGATGTGTCCGATTTGGTCTCTACTTATTCCTAACTTATAATACAAGTTAAATACCTATGCCGGTTTATGGCTACAGGCCTTGAACCGACTATGGGCCTTGAGCTCTCATCTGCCTTCTTGGGCTTTAACATAATTAACTACTGATGAAGTTAACCCGGCCCAGATAGGCCGGTTTACGCCCAGTAGTAATATCCCCAACATTGCTTGTGCATTGCACCGTGGTTGATTGCGGTTCCCTTTGTTTGTGTTCTTGCTTTGGGTAGAGCTGGGAGATGAGTATGTGATCGAGGAACCAGTTGAGTACGCTTATGAAGATCAAGCTTACATCAACTCGAAGAACTTTGCAGGCAAGATGACCATACCCTCGAAATCACTTCTATCTTTGCTTGCTAGATGCTCGCTCTTTTGCTATGCATATGCTACGACACCTACCACTTGCTTATCATGCCTCCCATATTGCCATGTCAAACCTCTAATCCACCTTGTCCTAGCCAACCGTTGTTTGGCTATGTTACCACTTTGCTCAGCCCCTCTTATAGCATTGCTAGTTGCAGGTGAAGATTGGAGTTTGTTCCTTGATGGAACATGTTTATTTGTTGGGATATCATTATTATATCTTGTCTACTTTAATGCATCTATATACTTGGTAAAGGGTGGAAGGCTCGGCCTTATGCCTAGTGTTTTGTTTCACTCTTGCCACCTTAGTTCCCGTCATACCGGTGCTATGTTCCTTGATTCTGCGTTCCTTACACGGTTGGGTTATAATGGGAACCCCTTGACAGTTTGCCTTGAATAAAACTCCTCCAGCAAGGCCCAACCTTGGTTTTACCATTTGCCACCTAGCCTTTTTCCCTTGGGTTTCGCAGACTCAAGGATCATCTTTATTTTAAACCCTCGGGCCAGTGCTCCTCTGAGTGTTGGTCCAAAACAGAGCCACTTGCAGTGCTACCTTGGGGAAACTTGAGGGATGGTTTTAGTTGTACGTAGTGTTCATCCGGTGTGCCCTGAGAAAAAGATATGTGCAGCTCCTATTGGGATTTGTCGGCACAACGGGTGGTCTTGCTGGACTTGTTTTACCATTGTTGAGATGTCTTGTAACCGGGATTCCGAGTCTGATCGGATTGTCTTGGGAGAAGGAATATCCTTCGTTGACCGTGAGAGCTTGTGATGGGCTAAGTTGGGACACCCCAGCAAGGATTTGAACTTTCGAGAGCCGTGCCCGCGGTTATGGGCATATGGGAATTTGTTAGTGTCCCATTATAGAAAACCTGAAACTTAACTTAACTAAAATGAATCAACAGAGTGTGTGTGGCCGTGATAGTCTCTTTTCGGCGGAGTCTGGGAAGAGAACACGGTCTCGAGTTATGCTTGAACGTAGGTTGTTCTAGGATCACTTCTTGATCATAGTTTCACGACCGTGCCTTGCCTCTCTCTTCTCGCTCTCATTTGCGTATGTTAGCCACCATATATGCTAGTGCTTGCTGCAGCTCCACCTCATACCTTTTACCTACCTATAAGCTTAAATAGTCTAGATCGTGAGGGTGTGAGATTGCTGAGTCCCTGTGACTCACAGATTACTTCAAAACCAGATGCAGGGACCGATGATACCGTTCCAGGAGATGCGACTGAGCTCAAGTGGGAGTTCGATGAGGACTCAGGACGATACTATGTTTCCTTTCCAGACGATCAGTAGTGGAGCCCAGTTGGGGCGATCGGGGACATTATGCATTTGGGTTGTCTTTATTTGGTTCCGTAGTCGGCCCTTGATTGTATCTGGATGAATGTAATGTTATATTTATGTATTGTGTGACGTGGCGATTGTAAGCCAACTATGTACCTCTTTTCTTATTCAGTACATGGGTTGTGTGAAGATTACCCCACTTGCGACATTGATTACAATGTGGTTATGCCTCTAAGTCGTGCTTCGACACATGGGAGATATAGCCGCATCGTGGGCGTTACATGGAGGCCCATCATCGTCTACAAGAAGAAGGTTGTGTAGTAGACATCAGGGAGCCTTTACTTTTTCCTTGGCCGGCCAGAGCCACAGCCTCAGTGCTCCCTCCAGCCTCAGCCTTCTGGTTGTGCTTTTTGCCCTTGTTGTCCGACTAATGAGCATCGCCTGCTTGGCTTTTGCGGCTTCTCAGTCGGTCTTCCTCTTCACCGTTGGCGTACCAGTTGGCTATCTCCATAGCTCGACTGAGAGTCGGGGTCTTAGTTCGGCCGAACTTCATGTTCATCTTTCGGTATCTAACTCCGGCCTTGAAGGCACAGATCGCCTGGTGCTCGGTGACGTTCTCCACCGTATTGTGCAAGGTGGTCCACCGCTGAATGAACTCACCCGGTCTCTTGTAAGTTCCTTCAAAAGTTTTGACGAACACTCTTGCCAAATCGTCCCAACAGAATATGCTACCTGGCGGGAGCTGTGTTAGACAAGCCGTCGAGTAGCCACAATGTGCTTGAGGTCAAGGGCGGGCTCATTGAACTCGAGAGCCACCACATGTTCTGTCGCAGCCTAGGTGGCCACAGCGTGCTTGATCCAGCACTGCAGCCGCGAGCGCCCTGAATGCTTGCGACAACGTGCGATGGTAGGGAGAGCGGCCACTTGGTACGGAGCCGAGGCCTGCCGGAGCAGGACTCCATAGGACAATGCGCGGAAATGCGTCGCGTCGCGGACGGGCAACACCTCCACGTCCAGCGGGGCATCGAGAAGCCATGCTGAATTGTCGGCGATGAAGGAGAGTGCCCTGAAACGGATTTCGCCGCCGACTGACATGATGATGAAGAATTCCACCTGCACCCTGAAACTTTGCTAGACGCCTAGCCCCAAGGTGGGTGACAACCGTCGGGGTTACGATCCTGACAATGAGTACTAGGGGTACATATGAGGGGTAGAATCTAGCTACGGCGCAACTGTAACAGTCGGTGTTTAATGAGTTCAGGCCCCTCTCGGCAGAGGTAACAACCCTATGTCTCGTGCCCTGAGGTTTGCTTTGATTTTATGGGTATGGTTACAAAGGTTGCTCATGCCTGATTATGTAGGGGGTGCGGCTTATATAGAGTGCACCGCAACCCCATGTCATCCACGCCGTTTGGGCATTAAATGACACTGAATACGTAAGTTACAGGTAGAGCGAGCCTCTACTACGGCAGTTACAGGTAATGGTAGCCACGACTCTGTTTTAATGGATGACTTAGGATTCCTCGACTGTTGCAGCTCCCACGCCGCCTGCTTGATTTCTTGGTCCGAGTGGCGATTCGTCTGCCGAGTGGCGGGTGGTTCTCCGAGTGCAGTCGAGTCGACCGAGTGGACTTCCTGATGTATGCGTCCGAATACTGGTATGATCCAGGGACCTACACACGTTGGTTATGGGCCCCATGCGGGTCCCAAATGATAGGTCCTTGACCATACCTGTAATAGGAGACCTCATCAGCGGCAAAGGCCAAGCCACTGCTCGCGGGGAAGAAAACGACACCCGCGTTGAGTGCTGACATAGCACTCATTTATTTGGTCAAAAGTCAAAATCCCTGCCACACCGTGCCACATCATCAAATCCACTCCTAAAAATGCCTAAGGTCAAAAACAACCGGGATCAGTGAGGTTAGGGATCTATAATGTCATCATCTTAAGGTGTGATCTCGAGTATGGACTATGCGGAACCGGCTCCTCTAACTTAGCTATTGTGAAGTTAGGAGCCTAACTTAGCCACATTTCATCCGTTGGGTCTAGAATAAATGGCTGAGATCTATCGCTACAGTTCTTATTGCTACAGGTAACAAACAGTGATTTTAGCTACAGTGCTCGTCCAAACAGTATACTACAACCCCATATGAACAGTGCAGAATCTTGGCCATCTATTTCCCATCTGATGGTTCACAGACTAAGTTAGGGTACTGTTTCCCTAACTTCACGGGAGCGAAGTTAGAGGAGCCAGTTCCAGTCCATTCACTCCACTCATTCTACTATAGATCATACTCGAGATCACACCTTAAGATGGTGACATTATAGAAAGATGATGACATTACAGGTCGCACAGCAGCAGCAGTTCACAGATCTAGTTTCAAAAGCGGCAGAAATGCATCTAATTGAAACAAGAATACTAGTAGAACACAGTACCAACCAACTCAGATCTCAAATCATACAAGAGCACAAGCTTATTTCAGCGCCATCCGTCGGCAGCACACCGGCCACTGAGCTGATAGTGATACACAAGAAGAAAGCCACGGACTGGCACAAGTTGGCACAGCGACACCGCGATGAGCACCGGATCTGGCGACCAAATCTAACCGCTTACCGCTGACTTGACTCGCGAGCAGATCGATCAGTTGGCGGCGGCCTCCTCGGCGGCCTTGGCCTCGGCCTCGGGCGCCGGCGGGTTGAGCTGGAAGGCGGAGACGGGGAAGGCGCGGCCGAGGCCGGCGGGGGTGCGGAAGACGATCTTGGAGCCGGAGGGGCTGATGACGATCTCGGAGATGGTGACCCAGATGAGCAGCTCCTTGCTCTTGACCCCGGTCATGCTGTGCATCCGGCCGCGCTCCACCACGGCCGTCACCTCGGGCGCGTACCAGACCTGCTTGCCGATGGCGTCGAAGGTGTGGGTGAGGCCGCCGGACTGGCCCTGGCGGAGCCACACGAAGCCGGTGGCGCGGTTGTAGCCCACCTCCACGAGGGACGGCAGCGGGAGGAGCCCGTCGGGGAGGCCCAGCTCGACGAGGAACTCGCGGGCCCTGGCCTCGCACAGCTCCGTGTGCACCTCCGCGCCCGACCGGTGCTCCTCGATCGCCTGCGAAGCCATCGCCGGATGTCGGGGGTTCCTTCTCTCGCCGGGGTTGGTTTTGCTTTCCTTGCTGGGCTCTGTTTCTTGCGAGTGCGACGCGTTCTCTGCTGCCGTTGGAGGAGATCGGGGGGCTGCTTTTATGCGCGTTTGGTTGGCCGCTTGGGTTCGGGGTTGAGAAGGGGATTGGTTCCTGTCCACGCGCTGTCACCCGGAATTTTATGTTGGGGAATCGGGTGCCATCCCAGCCAGACCCAGAGAGGACGGTGGACGCCTCTCGCTCGTCAATCGCTGTTGGTGCTATATCAGTCGCGCAGTTGGTTTTCTAGGAGTATTCGTCATTAGTAGTAGTACATACATCAATCGTCATAATGTTTTGCACCGTAGTTGACACGAAATGGGCAGCAGATCCCAACGGCCCCAACCACACGCACAGTTGCGAGTATTATGGTCGTAGGCCAGGGCAAGTGGCCTTAGTTTTTTCTTCGAGGACGGACGGGGTTCTCGTCTGCTTGCTCCTCATCGGATAAGGATTCAGCACAGACGTCGTTGCGGCACGGTGACTGCCTGTCGGTTCACACGGAAGGCAGTAAGAGCAATTCCAACGGACCGACCCAAACGGACGGCAGTTTTGTTTTTTTTTTGTCTGTTTGGATCGGCCAGCGAACACGGATGTACGCTTTCACGTTTGGGTTGACATGTGCGCCCAACACTGATCTGAACCCATTTTGATAGCGCTAGAAAGAAATGAATGCGTGTATATTAAAAAAGAGAAACAATATTAATTAAACATTAAAGCCGGCCACGAAGGCCGGCGAGAGTCCACGCGTTCACATTTGCATTTAAAAAAAATAAAGACGGCCTAAACTACGAGGCGGCGCGCTGCCCTAGGCGTCGTCGTCCTCGAGGTCCGTGAGGTCGATGAGCGTTGGCGCCGGCCCGGCCCAGGCGAACGCCGTATTCCAGAGCGCCGTCATGTCGGGCTGTGCCGGCGCAGGCAGTGCTGGCGCGGGGGAGTCTGCGGCCGCCTGTGAAGCCGCGGCTTGGCGCGCCTCCACCTCGGCCTCGCGCTGCTCCTCCTCGAGGTCGCGCTCGAGCATCTCGAGGTACTCGCCATCGCAGCGCTCCTCGGTCACCCGGATCTTGCGACAGTGCTCGAGGTACGCCGCCTCCTGCGCCGGCGTCGCTCCCATTCAGACCGTCGGCGCGCGTATCCACTCATGCACTACTCCCGTCCAGGGGTAGTGCTCGATGGGGGACGGCTCCCGCTCGGCCTCCGACTTGATAGGGGACGGCGGGGCCACCGGCGGCACCACGCTGTCGCCCGCCGCAGAGAGGGCAAGTAGTGCCTGCGCCATTGCCGCCTCGTACCGAGCCTCCTCTTCCGCCTCCGCCTCCTCTTTCGCCTCCGCCGCCTCCGCCCTGCACCGCTCGTCCTTCTCGCTCTCGCGGTAGACGGCCGCACCTGGTCCTCCTCGCGGACGACGAGCGCCGGCGGTGGCGAGCTCCGGTCGACCTCGCGGATGCCCCGTCGCCTAGCCTCCTCGTGCTCGAAGGCGAACCGCCTCGCCCAGTTGGGCGAGTCGGTTGCGTAGGCGGCCTCGCGGCGCTGCTCCGGCGTCAGCAGCGCCCGTCGGCGCTACACCTCCTCCGGTGAGCCCGAGCCGTCCGCGGCGCCGCCGGCACTGGGATCCTATCTGGATCCAGATGCCAGTCATGCGGCAGGGTCACATCGGGATACGGCAGAGGCTGGCGGTGCTGCCAGTGCCACTCCGCCTGGTGCACTGGCACGTTCACGCGCTGCCTCTGCCGGCGAGGCGCCGGCGGAGGCAGAAGGAACTCTGAGGGGAAAGGGGTGGCGGGGGCCTTGCCCTTGGCCTTGTTGCCGTTGGCGCCGGAGAAGAGGCCCATCTCACTGTGCTTGTGGTGGCTAGGGTTTGCCGACGACTGGGGAGCAAAGCTTGGCAGATGTGGACGGTGAGTTTGGATGAGGACGGCCCCGCCGCACGGTCGGCTTAAAAAAGGACGAGCGCCGTCGCTGACGCGTGGGCCCGTAGTCATAAATTAAGCTGACCACATGGGCAGCGAGTAGTTGGACGGCCGCCATGTGGAGACGCGGCGGACAGTGAGAAGGCACGCGAAGCATCCGTTCGGCGTCCGCGTCGACGCATTTGAGGCACAAGTTTGGGCCGCAAATGCGTCGGCGCGGACGCGACGCGAACTTGATTTGGGTTTGGGTCGGCGCGTTGGGCCGCCACTTTTGTCTGCGTCGATCCAAAGGGACGCAGGAGGATGAAATGGGTCGGCCCTTTGGAGTTGCTCTAACAATTTTTCTTTTTTTGACGAAATGCAGGCAGGTCGCTGCTTTCATTCATTAAGAAGGGGAGTGCCTCAAGATAAGGCGAAAAGTGCTAGTAGTTACAGAGTTACTGTGTAAGGTGAAAGAATGGAAAAGGGAAAAGGGAAATACATTGTGAGAAACAGAACTATCTTAACCATGATCTCCCATCCACTATGCACTCTTGAGGCTGGCAGTCCACCAAGTGCGCAGGTCAAGTACAATTCGATCACAAATTTTCAGAAAGGGGGGAAATTTATGATTGAAGATGCGGTCATTCCGTTCCTTCCAAATGCCTCACCAAATAGCCATCATCGGCGAGGAGAAGGCCAGGCCTGCTTCCTCCATTTAGGAATTTTTACCAGAGACAACAACCACCAGTCAAGCAAAGAAGGAGCGCTGACATTCAATCTGGCATCAAATGGAAACTGAAATTTTGTCAGGCAGAAACCTCAAACACCAGCTGTGAATGGGCAATCAGCAAAGAGGTGGTGAGCGGATTCGAGCCCAATTCTGCAAAGGGGGTGGATCGAGTCATGGGGTCATTTTCTCCTTGCAAGGTTGTCAGCCGTAAGACACGTTCCTTGCACAGCCAGCCAAGCAAACATCTTTATTTTTGGGGGGGTTTTGATCTGCCAAATGATGTTCAACAAAGGAGAGCTGACTCTGCCATAAAACTGTAAGTGGTATGCAGATTGGGCGTAATAAGTTCCATTCGCAGTTCATTTCCAACAAACTTCGTCTTCCAATTCACAGATGTTAACGCTTTGTAATATGTGCCATAAATCAACAAATTCTCTTAGAAGAGCCTCATCTGGGTTGCGCTTGATGAGCCGAATCCGGAGATTATCCGTGAGGCCTTCAAAGACAGCGATCTGGCGCCTAATACAATGCTTGTAAAGCAACGGGAAGGAAACCGAGGGGATCTCACCATGCAGCCAATGATCATGCCAAAAACTGAAGGATTTTCCATTCCCAATCTTGATTGAAGTACTAGCCACAAAATGGCCTTAACCTCCTTGTCCACTGGCAGTGTTAACCTATGCCAAGATTTATCACCATTAGTGGCGTTCTGCCAGAGCCACCTAACTCAGTGTCTTTCCTTGACAAATCAGATGTCTAGCCCACCAAGCTAAAGAGGAGAGCAAACTTGAGACCATTTGATCAAGCATTTTCCTCCACTAACTGCATATAACCCGGCCCAAAGAAAGGCCTTCTCATCTTATCGATCTGTTTAGTAAACCATTTTGGCTGCTCAATGGCAATAAGCTGAAAAATAGGCATTGCAGAGAGCACGAATCTGACCAGAACAGTACGACCAGCCAAACTAATAGTCTATTCTCCGATTACTTGTGCCAACTGTTTGAGCATATACACCGGGGCTCCTCAATAAGTGACCCCTCGTATGTCCACAAACACTTGTCGACGCGTCCACGGATAGGGTCCGATCACTCGGATTTTTTGTTCGTTGTAATCACAAACTTCAAATCTCACCCCTTACTACATCCTGCAACATAAAATAAGCTAATTACAAACTTCAAATCTCACCTATTATTATACTACTCCCTCTGTCCCATAATGTAAAATGTTTTTAACACTAATGTCAAAAAATGTCTTACATTATGGGACGAAGAGAGTACATCATGCAACGTAAAATAATCTACATACTATATAATATATAGATAAAACTATCCTAGTACTATTTGTTATCGGAGATGCCTACGACATTTGATGGACTGGCCTCCTCGTCGTTAGCCGTGGCCCGCAGCTCCAGCTCCTTGTAAGACTACACACCGCAAAGACTTCCTACAGCTCCCTCGTGGAGGTAGCGGTGGTTTGCGCGACCTCGAGGTACGATTGGATGGACTTTACGATGGCCTGCTGCTCCGTCGCCTTCTCCACTTGGGCCACCTCAAACCCATCCAACGCGTTGTCCATGGCGAATCTGAACCTAGGAGGCGTCGGATCCACCTCGCCTTCCTCCTCCTCATCGTCCTATGTCTCCATGTCCTCCATTTCTGCGCCTGGCACCCCTTCCTCCAATGCCTATTGCTCTACCTCATTTTGCTCTGGCGCCTCCTGGCCTGCCTCATCCTGCTCGGAGAGTCTGGAGGCAAGCCGGCTATGATGTGAGCACCCCGCCCAGTGGTGCGGTTCAGAGTGAGCATCTCGTAGGTGGTGATCCATTGGCGAACCATGGGTATCGACGAACAACGAGCTCAGAGTGGATTGGGATTGGATGGCGAGCTTAGAGTAGATTGGGAGTGGCAGCACAGACATGAATGAGCTGATGGAAATGGAGGTGGGGTTGAGACTCATTGTCCATCTTAAATAGCCAGATTTGGCCGCTCAGGCGGCGCACCAGAGTGGCGACATGCATGCGTCGTCATTGGACCAATGGGTTTTGATATGTGTTTGCGTGGGTCCTAGCTACCCATCAATCCGACATGGCAGACACGTTCAGGCGTGACCAGGCCTCCTCATATCCGCCTCAAGTATGGCTTAATATGAGGGGTGTCGGTCAGCCCGAACTATAGGGCCGGTTTAAGGAGTCCAGCTGAGTCACGATTTTATGATCGATCACTGATTGGGCCATTTCACCTGACGTATAGGGGCATTTGAGAAGCATGGTTGTAAATGCTCTTAGCCAAGGAGTAGGTGGATGCAATTGCTAGTTAGTTTT